AGGCAAACAAATTAAGTCAACCATGAAATCTCTACCATCAATAATCAAAGGACACTTTAAACAGACATCAAAAGTAGACACTGAACCACTAGTTGGTGTCTCTACTATTAATTCAAAAGACAAGGAAGAAACAGGTAATTTTAATTTGGACACACATGCATGTGATATAAAAGAGTGAGTCGCACCAGAGTCATACAAAACAATTAGAGGAGTTCCATTGATGAAACACATACCCTGGATTAAGTCTTTGCATTGAGTAGCTTCAGCACAACTCAAGGCAAACACCCTTCCTTTCGCTCTAGGTTTGCTAACGGTCTCTCCAATGTCTGTTGTTTCTTTCCTATTCTGGGGGCATTCACTAGCTTTGTGTCCCTTCACTTGACATTTGAAGCATGTTACAACTCTTTGCGTCCGACACTCAACTTCCCTATGACCTGGCTGCCCACATTTGAAGCAATTGTTGTGTGGAACAGAACCCATACTTCCCCCCTCTAAAAGTTTGGCTAGTCATTGGAGCTTGACTCCTTTGTTGTAAAGAACCTTGGTTATTCACTTTAGAACTCGAATCTCCAACAGACTTGGTGTAAGGCTTACCCTTACTAGATGAACCAAACTTATTATTCCTCATGGGTCCTCCACTCTTATAATGAGTTACCCTAGCACAGTTGTCCTCATCATATACTCGGCACTTGTTTACCAATTCATGATAGTGAGTGATCCCTTGATAATTGAAAACTTGTTTAATCTCAAGGCGAAGACCACTCACAAACTTCACACATTTTTCCTCCTCATTGCCCACACCATCATACATAGGACAAAATCTGACCAAGTCTTCAAACTTAGTCAAATACTCAGCCACAGAATCCTCTCCTTACTTTAATTCAAGGAATTCCACCTGTTTCTTATGTCTTACATCTAGGGGAAAGTATTTCTCCAAGAATAGCTACTTGAAATTCTCCCAGTTCACTTGGGTACCTACAGCTATCATTCTTTGCAAAGCACCTTGCCACCAGATGCCAGCCTCTCCAGAAAGCATGAAGGCAGCCAAAGTCACCTTCTGTATCAAAGGACATCCCATAACTTTGAATATCTTTTCAACTTCAAAAATCCAGTCAGCAGCTCCATTGGGATTATAACCTCCACGGAAGCTTGGCGGATTATTTCGCTGGAATCTCTCTAACCAATCTATCTCTGGTCGTTGGTTCAAATTACCAAGAGCCTGAGCCATCGCTTGTAGAGCATCAACGATTGCACGGTCATTCCTACCTCCTGCCATCACTTTTCTGATCTCCATAAAAGTTAACAATTATACTATAAGTAAACAAAAAAATTAATCAATCATTGCACTAACATATCAACAAATTCCACAATCAATTCATTCCATCAATTATCTACCAAACAAGCATAGTAGACTCATAACTCACGGCCGATTGGATCGACCTGCTCTGATAGCACTAAATGTGACACCCTTACTACCCCAACACATATATTGTAATAATGAAAACTTATAAATAAATTTTTCAATTTCGGTAAAAGGGTTCACATGAGAATCTTCAAAATTATCCTTCAATAACCACAATAATAAAAATAAAATGCAAGAGTTTTCAAATTGTTTTCAAAAATAACATTTATAACTCCAAATCCATATAAAAACCTATGTTCTAAAAATCCTTTGCCCCGATGTCACAATATCAGAGCATCCCGACAATTCAACCGTTGGCATTCTAGATACCACTCGTAGCCAGATCTTCCTCACCTAAAACATCCACAATTTATACGGTAAGAAAAGAAAACATCATATGTAAAGCACATACAAACACACAATAATGTAATCTCATTACATAATGAAATATTTACAAGAATTTCTATATATCATAACCCTATCAATCATGCATCATTTTCACTTCATAATTCGCAATCACACCTATTTATCTCAAATCTTGCAATTAACATTATCATTTTCACATTCATAATTCACACAATCTTACAATTAACACTATGCCAAGGCCATGCCACATTTGACATAAGTGATACGCGTTAATTGTCTTACTCATCCAACACTATGCCAGGGTCACGCCCTCCCTATAGCATCACTTACCCAGGGGTCGTGCCATCCCTATTCATTGATGTGAGGAACCACAATCACATCACAATCCACAGCACCTATTACAATTAACCCTATGCCAGGACTGCCATATTTGATATAAGTGATACGTGTTAACTGTCTTACTCATCTCACACCATGCCAGGGTCACGCCCTCCCTGTAGCATCACTTACCCAGAGCCCGTGTCATCCCTAGTCATTACGTTGAGGAACCTCAATCATAACCATACTCACAGTCATCACATCTCATCTTATAGCTCAATAACATATCACATACACATAACGGATAAGTCCAACAAAATAAGGGTTTCATACACCTCAAGCAATTCACATCTAAATCATCAATTTTTATCAAGTGATATAACAATAACATTCATAAATTAATATAATATTCAACGGAATTACCAATTTAATATAATTTCAACATAACGGTAAAACTCTCAATTATTCCAAAACCTAGCTCACAGGCACTTTCTACAGTTTCGTTCTCCCTCTCAGATCATCATTCTTACAAATTAAATATATTTTTCTAATCCTCAACACATACAGAATCTAATGGGATCATCAATTTCTCAAACAAAAATAATCCAATTTTTTCCAAAACCTAACTTACAGACACTTTTCTATAATTTTGTTCTCTCTCCCAGAGCATCATTTTTACAAATAAAATATATATTCATAATCCTAAATTCATACAGAATCACATAAAACCAATAATTCTCCAAACAGAAATAATTATAAAATTACTCATAATCTTAAGGGTTCTTCCTCTACCCAATTCCCTCATGTAACTTTACATATAAATAATTCCTTTTTCCCTCGTACCTGGATATGTAGAAGCTGAACCTACACAAGATCTGATTGATCTCCCTCACTGAGTTCCCCTCGGTCTGATGTAGAAAGTAGAGGAAAAGAAAAGAGAGTAGAAGAAAAGAAATCAACAAATGAGAGGTATGCCTTTTGGAAGTGGTAGAGGGCTCAATTTATAGGCATCAGGCTTCGCCGGAATAGCCCGTTCTGGAACCTTAAATTGTGGGTAAAAATCACATCCAGAACGGCCCGTTCCCAAACCAAAATGGCTCGTTCTGGTGTGCATTAAATACTCACAACGGCCATATGTTGGAAATGGCCCGTTCCAAGCCCGTTCCAACTTAGGGTTATAGGTTGTTTTAATAGTCCAGAACGGCCTGTTCCAACTTGAGAACGGCCCGTTCTGGGCAACAAACTCGCATATATTTTGGTAGTTTGGAACGACCCGTTCCAATTCCGGAATAGCCCGTTCCAAGCTACTAAATCACGTACCTTTTGGTAGTTTGGAACAATCCGTTCCAATTTCGGAACAGCTCGTTCCAAGCTACTAAATCACCCCTATACCTTTATAAAATTACCAAAATACCCTTAATTAAAATAAAAAGTGAAATAAAAATTGGGGTGTTACATAATCTAACACTTATAAAGTTGTTTTACCTCTGCATTTGTTAAATCTCCATAATGCTTGTCATGTGTCTTAACTTTAAAAATATGTTTATGATATGTCACATGTGATTGAGTCGAACAATCTTGAGGTTAAAGACAACTTTTTGATCGAAAGCTTACTAGTGAAAGTTAAGGATCAAATGGTTAAAAACCTCAGTGGCAAGGATATTCCTATAGTTATGGTAGTTTAGGGAGGCCCTACTTATGAAAGTGCTACTTGGAAGCTAGAGAATAAGATGAGGAAAGCATATCTAGAGTTGTTAGCAATAGGCAAATTTGGGGACGAATTTCTTTTTAGAGGAGGAGAATTGTAACACCTATATTTTTTCAATAAAATAAAATAAAATAAGTTTTCTAAACAAAAATTATATTTTGAACATAATTAATTAAGTTTATTATATAAAGAAAAAAAATTTAATGAACAAAATAAAATGAAAAGGTAGTGGGATAAGAGAGGAGTCTTGGGGTGGACTTTTGAACCCAACCCCAAGACTTAATAAAAATAAGTAAAAAATAGCTGTATTTTTTTATGCATCTATTCTAAACCTTAAGAGTATCTATAGAAGAAACCTTAGAGGAAGACACTAGCTAACACGTAGAGTAGTGGTAGAGGAGTTAGAAGAGGGTGTTAGAGTCTCAAAAAATGTTACCTGAGGTTAAAGGGTGTGAGAATGTCTTTTTAATGGACACATGTGAAGAGTATGGCTAGTGAGGCGATCCCTACATATCTTAGGTTGTCGATTGGAATTTGTGGATGCATGTGGTAATTGCTTGACTTATATGTTATTGTATGATGAATTTCCAAACTTGACATTTATGGTTTTGATTCAAAATGTTTGTGTATTAAGGGTTAGGGTTATACATATGAATTTGGAGGTTCTTATACACTTGAGAGAATCTAGGTGTTTTGGTGATTTTATCTTGTCTTATAAGTGTTATAAATCTGCTTTACCAATTATTTTGAGGAAAGGGACGTTTGTTGGTTTTGGATTAGTTTTAGAGACCTTAGATTGATAGGATTGCAATACTACAAAGTGAAGAATCTATGGCAGTCTCGGGAGTGTGTGACACCCGTTCCACCCCAACATATATTAATAAAATAAAAGAAGAAATTTGTTCATAATTCTGAGTAAAATAGTTCACATATAAAACACCTCCAATTATCCAACTAATTTGAAACAAAATTTAGAAATAGAATTTTACAATTATATCTAACAAAAGAGACATGAAATCTGAATGAAATAAAACTTCAAATCTAATCCCCTTGCCTCGATGCCACACTATCAGAGCAACCAATACTTCAAATCTCGACACCTTGAGTGCCACACATACCAAGTTCCACTTCACCTAAAACAACCACAAACTGTGCGGTAAGAAAAGAAAAAATTCATATACAAGTCACAAAAGAAATATTTATCATAAATTTAATTATAAAATTTATATGCTCAAAATATTTACTTATTTTTAGAACTTTAATATATATATATATATATATATATATATAATTAAAGATTTCAATCAATCACACCTCATGTAATCAATTCCGAAAACCATTCCATACTATCATCTCACCACAATTATATTCAACTCGATCACCACATCATAATACAAATATGCACCATGAATGCACTCACACCGATGCTCATGCACCACAACCTCATAAGAAGCATTGACTCAGAACATCACAAAATGGGTGAACCTTATCAATCCGCCTTAGGGACCACCTTGCACTTACCCATTGTTATACACCACACAGGCCAAGCTAATGCATTATCCTGTTAATCACCACACAGGCCAAGGTCGTTACACCTATATATTATGTAACACCCCAATTTTCATAAAAAATTATATTAATAATATGTAGTATTTATTTTAATGTTTTAATGTGTTTACTAGAAGGATTTTTAATATTATTTAGCTATTTGATATGAGTTTTTTTATATGAGACATTTTTTTTTTACTAAAAGGGAGAAGTATATTTTATATTATTTATCTATTTTATATGAGTTCTATCTTAATATAAAGCATGATTTTTAATTAATATTTGATTATTTGATATGAGACAAGTTTTTATGAAATGTATTTCATTAAAGTTAAGTATATGTTATTTTAATTAAAAAGGGGGAAGTGTATTTGATTATTTTTTATTATTTTATAAAAAGCAGAAGGGAGGATGTAGTGGTAATTTTGTTGTTAGTATTATTATTATTTGATTTTATTTGAGAAAAGGGAGTTACGGAAGTTATTAAGAATTAAGAGGAGGGAGTTTCATTTTCACGTTTCTGACTTCACTTTTCTCTCACGCTTGTAATGACTAAGGAGAGCTCCAAGAAGAGTAATAACCGGATTCCACCCGACTTCTATTCATCAAGGTGAAGGGGGAGTGAGAAACCTCACTTGGGGGTGTGGGAATATCTGTTGGGTAGTAGGATTGGCCCCCAATCCCTGATCTGATGTAGAAATAGAAACTTTTTGAATGCTTTTTGTTTTCACGTTTTGAGCTTTCTGTTGTGTTCCTTGATGTTTGCTAATTGTGAATATGTGTTCAATTTCAAGAATAAATAAGTTTTGATATGAATTTTAGTGCTCTATAAGAAAATTTTGAATGTTTTCTATTTTGGCTTCTGAATTTTCTGTTGTGTTCACCAATGATTACTGAACATGAATGTAAGTTTAATTTTGAGTTTGGATATGTT